AAACACTTGAATTGACATAATCTATAGGAGAAAAGTGGAGGTGCTGCAGGAGGCTGCTGTTAAATGTCTTTGCTATTACAACTAGAGCAAGGTAGTTCTGTTTTGAGTAGGGTTGGATTATGCAATTTCCAAAGGTCTCTTCCAGTCTGGTTAATTCTATGACTCTTCAGCCAAGCAGTCATGATTAGTAGTGGCAGGTTAGAAGTTGGGCAATCTCTCATTAGACAACTCTCCAGGTCATAAAATAACAGTCAGTATTGGGGCTGCACCTTGCTACCTGACCTACTGCTGGGGCTGGGTGAGGAGAGCTGCCTGGCTTTTCTCCATGAAATGAGATGGATCTTCTGTAGATATTCAGCAGAGTATTGCTTGGCTTTTTATTTCTTCTCCTTTCCTTCCTCTACAAAGAATAAATATATAGAATAAAGTGAAAGAGGATATTTTTCTGTTCTGCTAAGGAAATTTTATAAGACTTGGCATGAGTATCCTGGGAGTCTGAGCTAAAGATGGTGAACATATGGGAAAGCCTGGGAGAAAGCACGGAGTTTTAGTTTTCAAACCTTACTCTTGGATTGCTACAGTAATGGAATGAAAGGACATTAAATGAGCTGAGGTTATTAAACCCTAAAGGTTATAGAGTCCTACTGGGGACCACATTCAAGATGTAATTAAACCAAGTCCAGATATTTTAATTTCCAGCTGGAGATTTACACAACATAAGCTGATTTTTTTTTTTTTTCCAGTTCTGAACTTTATTGAAAATAGGCTTGTTAATTTGCTTATTTCTTTTTAGTAGTAACTGAACAGACATTGTTTAGGCCCACTTGGCTCTAGTAAAACAGTAGGTACCAGTATCAAAGAGTCATGGTTCAAATCAGAGCACGTATCTGGGAAGGCAGATGCTTGCATTCTGCTATTAAAGTCTCACTCCCCCAAAACTATGTAGTCTACAAACGGTTATCCATTCTGATCCTCCAAGGCTCTGCCTGTCTGTTGTTCCAGATGGTCCATTGCTCTCCATTACAGTGCGAGAGACAACAGTGGTCCTAGAACTGTTAATTCTGCTTATTAGAAATACAGGCTTAAACTTATTAATGAGATTGTTTCCATCTAAAACATTCTAATTTCTTTGTAATGTGAGCTTAAATGATTTTAACTCTTCAAGAACATGTGTTTTTTTTTTTTTTTTGTAAGGAAAAAAAAAGAACAAAAGTTCACTAAACATGAATGCCACTGAAAAAATCCCTGAAGCAAACCAAAATCCAAAACCAAGGATGTGCCTTCATGGATTTGACTTGACTTCCTAGCGTTGGGTTGGCTCACCTTTGGAGTAGTCCCTTCTCTCCTTCTGTCTGACTAGCTGCTCTTCTCTGAAGGAGTCAGATTGGCTCTGCCTTTTTTTTTCCTCAGGGAAAGCTGGCATGAGAGTTCAGGTGCCTTGTGCTGCAGTTTGCAGGTCTGTGTGAGAAAGCTGACTCTTGAGATGACCTGGGTGAAAAAGAAGACATCACTCCGTCTACCCCACACCAATTTATTTCTTGGACTAATTCTGTGACCTTTTTGGACATTGTGACTCCCAGGAAGTTTCTGTGTGAAGCATGTTTGGAGTGTGTCCTGTGGCTGCCTCAGAGCTGGGTGTTCCTCCTCCTGGTGAATGATCCCCATTTACAGAGAGCAGTGGAAAGTAATTTGAGAGGGCAAGAAGCTAGATGTCTGCCTTGGTGACTTGTGCACACTGACTGGGGTTTGAGTGACCTGGGATGATCAGACACTGTGGCAGGGTACATCTGGGGGTTGTAAAAAGGTGTGGATTAGAATTCCCAAGGTCGGGGGAGACTCAATCCTAAAGCTTTCATCTTGTTTGCCTTGACTGTTGGAAGCAATTAATGCTTACATTTTAAATTCAGGAAAAAAAACTGCAGCAAGCCAAATCGCCTTAGTAGAACTTACTACTTGCTTATAATTCTGTCTGCTACATCAGTGAAGACATGAGTTAAGAGCAATTGTAGGAGGAAGGTAAGGAAAACATGGTTTTTAAGACTGTCTTAATATTCAGTCATTGGATAAACAAGGTTGCTATGTTTGTTTCTACAGCTAGAGTAGGAAAAAACTGTGAAGAGTTGCTCTCCTGCTGGAAAGTGTATTTGGAAGTGCAAGCGCTCTGCCCAAGAGACTGCAGGCAGCAGGTTGGAGTAAAAGCTGCTTCAAGGACAGAATCCAGTGAGAATGGTTTGTATGCAGGTGGAGGACAATGTGAACCTTTGACCCAGCTCTCCCTTGTTTTTCTTTTTGTTTTTTGTTTCCCTAATCTGAGAGGGCTGCATAGGGCTGGGCTTCTTAGAAGAGTAACTATATTAAAGACAGCAGTTATTGGAAAGGTCAGTTTAGGATACCTTCCTTTTGGTAAACAGGCAAAAAAATAGATGTGTGAGTTTTGCACTTGAATCTCGACAAGCAGGAGGCATGTGGTAATGTGTGAGAAGAGTCTCAATGTGCGGAGTGGCCCAGAGAGACCGGCTCAGTAGCGGATCTGGATGTGGGAGTCAGCCAACGCTCCCACATTAATTAATGAGGTGAGGAGAGATAGAATTGCATCTTCTCCAAGCTTGTTCTCCTCAGAAGATTTATCTGGAAAAGCTTCTATGTTGATTTAATGAAGATGTGCATGCCATAAAGTGTTTGTATAGTTCTGGGCCATTTGGATGCATGTCCCAAAAGCAGAGTAGGGCAAGTGATTATAGGCTTCTCCCCTGCTGATTGATTTATTTGCTTATCTTATTTTTCACTGAGCAAAGGTGCCCTGTGTGTGAGCTGGTTATTTCCCTGTCCTTCTGGGGCACAGTGCCCATCCCTGCCTGTTCCCTGCATGAGTGTTTCCTGAGGGAAAACTGAATGAGGAGCGCGGAGTGAAGAACCTGTTTCCCCCAGGGGAGCAGCTCAGGGATTTGTCTTGGAACAGAACAGTGACTGAATTTATTCCTTATCCAAAATGTTTCATTAATGCTGCCAGCTTGCCAATGCATTTAAAAAAAAAAAAAACAAACGGGGGGGGGAAGTACATGTGTGGGGAGGTGGATGGAAAAGGTGATGCAGCAGCCTGTACAACCCATGCAAAAGGGACAAAGCGAATGTGCTGTAGGCAAGGCAAGCTATTCTGGGTGAGGTTGAAATGGAGCGGGGAGCAGGTCACAGGCACAAGCTCAAGAAGGTCAGCTTTGAAAGGCACTCCAATGGATTTTCTCTGTGTTAGGGAGAGGCAGTTGCTAATTATGCCTCTGCTGAAGTTGGATTTTGTGCTACTGCAAGCTGCAGTAAAGAAGATGCAACGTCCTCTGCAAAATGTCAGCTGAGCACAGAACTGGGTTTGCAGGGAGTGCAGGGGTAGATCAGTCTATTGGCCTGTGAGCTAAAATGAGCAGGAAGTGTGTCACAGGGAACAGCTGATGCCCCATGGCAGCTGATGGCTCTGTTCTATCATGGCTCTCTGCTGCATGGTGAGTATTACTGGCAACACAGGTAGAAGGCAAACAGGACACAGAGTCATTTGCTTCTTTATTAGTGCAAGCTTGATATTGCACTGATATAGTGCAAGCTATGCACTTGTTCACTCTTTCACTCACGTGTGCACTTCGTAAGTTGCTGTTATGGCAGGGGAGTAAGGAGTCTCTGTCCCATGTGAGTTGTTGCTAGAGGCCAGCCAAAGATGCCTTCCTGTTCTGGGCTGTGGGAAGCACGGCCTTTGTACACAAAGATGCCATCTTGTGATCTTCTGAAAGGGCAGGGAAAATACAGGCTGCCCTCATTTAGGGCAAGAAGGGGAAGGGAAACTGTAGAAGAGAACTCTCCTTTATAAAAGATGTTAACCAGCTGCTAGTGTGGGGGCTGCATGCCAGTAATAGTTTAGGATGCTGTACTGTCCAGAACTGAGCAGTTAAATGCAGAAGTAGACAAATGCAAGACAGACCCAAATAGTCAGATGCGTGGAAATAAACAACTAAGAAACTTCTGTAGCTTTAGCTTCAAAAAGAAAAAAAAAAAGAAAGAAAACCAAACATTCCTAGTTTCACCTAAAATCTTCCAAAGCAGGCAACCCCTTCAGGTCTCAGGTGTTTCTGAAAATTAGTGGAGCCATAAATATTCTTATACAGCATTCTTAACGATGTCATTATTTCCCTTTTTTTAAAGGGAAAAAATTGTATTGCGTGACTTACGAATGCATTTCCATGCACCAAATTTCACTTGGATTTCTTTTCAATTCAAACTTAAATTGAAATTTCTTTTGTTTTATGGTTCTTGTTCAAGGGATTACTATGATATTCTTAGTTTTGCCTTTGCTATGCTGCTGTGATGCCAGATTAATGTGGTTTTGATTGGAGGAGAGCCAGTGCTGGAGTTAGAGAGCATCCAAGACTGTGTGTATTTAAAGAAGCTTCCTGCTTGGTAATGTTGTTTGAATAATGGAGAGAAGGTACCACGACGTTTTCTGACAATTGATAGGGACAATGCTGGATAAACTCGAAATATTGTTCAGTCTTTTTGCCTCCCACTCTTGCACGTAAGTTCAAGTGAAAGCTTCAGGTCTGGAACAGATTTCATAGAGTAAACACATTTCCTTGTATTAGAATTTATTTCCTCAGTTTTGCAGAACTAAACTGTGCTACAGTTGAGGTCACTTTAAAACTTATCACTTAGGCACTTCAAAATCTTTGACAGACCAGTTACAATTAATGCAATGTGCCTAAATCATAAAAAAATTCTCATCTCTTCTATTTGAGTATCTGTTATATATTTATTTTTCTTGAAGTTTCTTCATAAATTTTTAGGTTACCTTACTCTTCTGCTTTATAATAATTGTATCTTCTGAGATAATTGTGCCCTTTATTTTTCTGCTGGCTGTTTCTTTTAGGCTTGCCATCTGGGACTGGCAGTCCTTAATAGAGCCAAGCATTTCATTGAAATTTGAACTGATCTTTTCTTTCCTTTTTCTTTGTCTAAACCAGTTGGTTCAGGGTGCATGGCACACAGTGTGCTTGGCTGAGAATTTCCAGGCAGGGCGAGGATCCTTATTAGGAAAATCCATTCCCTTCAGGGAGAGCTGCCTCCAGACCCTGGGAGCCCTGGAACAACTGCAGCTGTGCCTTGCAGTAATCTGGGAAGCGAGAGAAAGATTAGACTGATTGGGAAATAAACTTAAATGATACAATGTTTGTAATGGACAGCTTTTCTGCTGTCTCTGCATATATTGAAAATCTGTGTTATTTGATGTTGCTTCTCCTTTTCCCACCAAATGTTTTGTGGCTTGCTCTGAAGCTCTAGCAGACTCCTGCTGTGGTACCTGACTTTTAATCTGAAGGTCAAAAGGCTGGGCTCATTCAACAGCAAACTCTATGGTCACCAAAGTGTCGCTGAAGCCATGTCCCAAGATACATCCTGGTAAGGTTTTCCAGAAGTGAAAAGATGACAGTTCTGACAAAAGCCAATGAAGTGGGAATTATCAAAGCAACATCAAAGGGGAGTGCATTCACTGAAGAAAATAGAAGTTTCCTTCTGGGACTGGGGGGAAGGACAGAAATGAAATGAAGCTTTCTCGTAGATATTATAGAGAAACTCTTTGCAGGCTTGGCTGAAAGATGTTTTCCTAACAGTATAATTAGTCTACGATAATTTTTGAGTCTGCATTACTTTTGAGAGATTGTTTTTCTGGGCAATCAGACCTTTGGAACCTGCGTTAACAGAACAGAAGAAGTTCTCCTATAATAGTCCTCTGGATGCAGAAACATGATGTCACCTAGAAAAAGCAACACAGAAATCATAAACTGAATGTGAATTTGCTGAAGAGGATCGTTATGTGCTCCTTAGCTCAGAATTGTGTGATGCCTCCTTACAGGGGAGACTCTGAAGAGGCATTCAAAATGGAGTACTTGATATGCTTCGTGTAAAAACCAGTGTCTTAGTGGAAACTGTGCATGGTGTTTTAATATTCATGGTTTTGCTGGGGAGAAGGAAAAAAAAGAAAAATCCAGGTTGCTGTTTCTAAATGAGTTCTAGCAGTGACCCATACAGTCCACCCTCTTCTTTTACACATGCACACAAGGGATCTCTCACAATAAAGAGTGCTAAGTTTGCATGCTTAAATCTAAAATCCTGCTTAAATAGAGTTTAACTAAGACCTTAACTCTCTTGACATTAGACCTAATAATTATTAAGCAAAGCAAGTACTGTCTTTTATTAAACAAATGGGTAGAGCTGGAAGAAAAACAGATGAGCTTGTGGGTGTAAAAGGATTTGTCTGAATTTTTTTTCCCCCACCTCTCCTAGTCAGTGAGGGGTGGGGAGAATGAAGTACTTTTTTTTTTCCATTCAAACCTTTTCTTGCCCATGTCCTTGATTCACCACAACTGTTATACACTGTATCATGAACTACTGCTTGTATTGTGGTGGGGTAATAAAAATGAGAGGCCCTATTGGGGGAAGCTACAGTCTGGTTTGGACCAGACTCTATGGTAAAGTGCAGTAAGCAAAGAAGCAGCAGCATCAGGAAGAAACCATGAAAAAAGCATGTTTACAAAGGTCAGTTTTTGGTATGCTTTTGGTTTTGAAGATCAGGTATGTAATGCAGTAAGCTTCAGAAGCTATAAGCAGCTTCTCCTTGCTGACAATTAAGGAACTGGGGATAAAATAAGTGATTTTTGAAGGAACTAATGAAACTTGTGAGGTTATGTGTTAATGTCCAGTAGATGTGGGCTCCCAGTCACCAAGCTGGCCTCTGTGTTCTGTCATTTTTTCAGAGGTCTGTGGCAGATGTAGGAAAACATTGGGAATTCTGACCTGGGACCTTGGTTGGGCTCTTTAAAGAGGCAGAGGACACTTAGAAAAATTGGTCTGAACTGGGATTTGGAGCAATTAGGTGATCTGAGAAGTTCAGGTTTGGTATTTTGCCGGATAAAGTTTTGTACTACCGAGCCTCTCTCTCTTACTTGGTGAAGCAGGACTGAAATCTGCTTGGATTTGTCCAGTTTAGCAGAATTATAACTGGCACAAAGCACATATAAACTGTGTCTGCACCATTCTTATTATCCCTGACTCATGCTGGATGCAAACAGCAGCTATATTTACAGTATCCTGTTCTACAGCCATCTCTGGTCTAGCAGGCCAATATCTGCTTGAGACTAACAATGGTGCAGGCCTTCCTGGCCAGTTGGAAAGCCTTAGCATGCAGGTCTGGATGTGAAAATAAGTCTCGTCTGCAGGAATAATTCACCTGCATTGTTCCGAGACCTCATTTTCTATAATGAAATGAAAACACTGCTAATGAATTTCAATTCATCATCAGCTACATCAGATCTGCTTGAATTTGGTCAAATATGGGCAGGTCTAGTATGAGACTCAGTAAGAGGCGATTATAGTTTCTCAGTAGCAGGAGTTATGTCCTCTCTGCTGCCCTGTATTATCCAGCATCTGAACTAAACGTGGTAGAGCCTGTTGCAAAGGTGGAATGTGCTTAGCTTAAAAACTAGGTCAGGGTCTGAGCAGGCAGTGATTTATATCAGGGTTCAGACCATGTGTAACCCATTTCTGTGAAATATTTATATTCCTGAGAAGGATTTTATCATGGGAGGATTTCCCAGCAGGTTAGGCACATACCAATGTACCTTCATTTTTCATGCTGTGATTTAACTGGGTCTATTCAGGAAATGAGTAATTGCTACACCATTGTGATTTTTTTGCTTTCTCTTAGAACTGCAAATTTATCTGTTGCTACAAAGTTCTACTATGAACCTGGTGAACCAGGAACAAATTGCTTGAGGCTGAAATGGTATGGCTGTATTAGCTGTACCTGTGAATGATTTGGATCACATCTGTTGGCTAGTTAACTTTTCCCATTCGTGGTAATAAAAAAAAAAATCCAAACAACAAACAAACCACCACAGCAGAATAAAGTATGTAGTTCTTGCAGTGTTTGTAACGCTTGTAAGAATATTTCCAATGGCATCCATAACAGCAACTAGGAATCATTGTATGTTTTCATCTGAGACGTGTATTGAAAAAACCTTTGGAAGAGTGTTTTGACCGTGTGATCATTTGCTATCACTTTTATTTTTCTTGGGAGTATTTTCTGCTGATTGTCATCATTCACACAATCATAAGAAAGCAAAAGAATGAAAACTGAGACATGGGCAAGATCCGAGTACGCTATCTGGTGCTAGTATTGCATCACCATGTCAACTGTCATTCTGACCAGCCACAGAGAATGTTGTAGTTTTGTTTTGTCTTCTCAAGCTTATCTACTTTCTGCAAACACCTCAAAAATGCAAGGCTGAGCTATGCCTCTTGATGAGTCTGCTTCATGCAGCTGTTTAAATTACAGTGTCTGTCCCCCATCATAGCACAACAAGTCATTTTTCAGCTTCAGAGCGCTTTCAGACTGTCCACTCCTAGTCCACCTAATGCTTGAGAGACAGTGGTTGAGAAAGGGAGGTTATGGGGCTTGCTTCAGGCCACAGAAACAGTTGTTGTCTGGGCTAAAATCAGGTTTCTGTACTTGATTCCCATTCTGGAATTATGAGCCTCCATTTAAAAGCCAGCTAAAGCTTTTATCTACTTATTTCTTTAATTTTTTTTAAAGGGTGAAGGCTATATTTTGTTGCTCCACTGCAGCAACTCTAATGCAAGTTCCAACGTGTGGCTGTAAGAAGGTATTTGTTACAGGCGACAGCTTAGAGTTTCTCATAATGACAGCTCCACACAAATAACACACGCAGTAGTTCTGTGTTAGGGTTGTCTGATGGCAACAAAATTCTCAGATCAAAGGTGTGGAGGTAATTAGGAATCTTGCTAATGATTCTGTGCGTTTTTGTTTTTTCCTTCTCAATGAAATGAGATTCACATAGATTAATTACTACCTGCTATAAATAAACCCTGAGAATGGCAATCTGCATCGCAGAGGCAGAGGGTAGCTGTCATTTAATATATCACAGCTTTCCATGCACCTGTTCACCCGGTGCTGTTGCCATGGCAACTACACTTTATAAGGGAAGCTCTGCATAATTAGCATGGATCGAGGTCTATATCAATCAGAATAATTTGGAAGAGTATGGAGAGCCCAGAGGAGAAGGCAAAACTGCTTGTCTCAGTAGGGAAGGTATCAGACCTCTGCTGTGTGGTACATAGCAAGGCAGTTATTAGAAAATTCAGCTGAATTACAGATCTAAGGAAGCCAAATTATACAAAACAAAACTTTTGCATGTGTGTTATGAAACCATGCTAGAATGAGCTTTGAAAAGTGAACAAAGTCAGAAAACCAAACCAAAAACCATACTTGCGTAATTAACTTGGAGGCTTTGTTGCAACCTAGTATGTTTCATAGAGTGCACAAGTGTTGTCAGCCTGGGAGCCAGGCAGTGATGGCCAGCAGTGCTGGTAATGTCCAGCTATGCCTTTTACCTTTATTGGTCCTTGTTTTTTGTCAAAACCTGCCAGACACATTTCAAACTGATGCAGATGTGTGACCCATGTTGCCTCCCAATGCAGCACATTAAGTGTAAAACAACAGTTCTGACTTCAGTTTTATTTTTTCCTTGACTGCTGGTACCAGAAATGCCTCTTTAAAAAACAGGGCTTAATGGTTTTATAAAATGCCTATGAAAAACTAGTTGATTTTTTAATTTTTTTTTTAAAGAAAAAAACAGAACTGGGAGAGCTTTGTGTCTGGGTGCATGAGTGCGCATTGAATGATTGTGAGTGAGTCTTTTAACACAGTCTTGGCTTCAAATCTCATCTGGAAGTGACTCAGGTTTAGTGGAGCTGTATCAGTCTCTGCAGCTGTATGTGAAGTGGTGACCTTTAATTCACTGGGGATCCAATTTGAATGCATGTGTTGATAGTGTAGAATCATATTTGTGTTGTCATAAAACTTTGTGATGTGAGTCATCAAAGCATCTCAAAAGAAAAAGGGAATGAGAACTTCAAAATGTGTGCTCTTCTGCATTAGTAATGCTAGAAAATAATTTCAAATACAGTGGGTGTTAGAGGTCATACAATGGCAATGTGACAGTGCAGTATGTGTATTGTCTTGGCTTTTGAAGATGCAGTTACTAAAATCAGTCTAAAGTTGCAGAATTGATAGATTTTATATGACAAACGTTAGAATTTTTGGGTGACACTGGTTTGTGTTACTTCATTACAATATCAGAAGATCACGGCAACTTGTTGCACTGGCCAGATGTGGAAAAAAAAAATTGAATTAAAATCACAAATAGGCTTAGTTCACTTAGCATAACATAGCATAGCATTTCAGTCCATCCTTACTTATCCCTAGGATTTTATTCAGCTTGCTGTATTTCTGAGTGCTGCATTAGATGACAGACTACAGGAAACTCCTTTGCTACACCTGAGTAAAATGTCTAGGAGAAAAGGCGTTGTTGTGCCTCTGCTGCTCCTGGGTTGGGTCCTAGGTGGAGAGGCTGTGTGTGATTATTTTTTTTTCCCTATAGGGATGATAGTGGGAGGATACTTGACAAACAGAAGTGAAGCATTGCATGCCACTGTAACAGAATATGAAAAGATACTCCTCTTAGGTTCTGTGGAGGACAGGGTGGGGATTTGAGCCCTTGATGTCTTGAGGACTCCTTGCATGGTATCACAGCTTCAACAGGCAGAGCCTTGAAGTGCCCTTCACTTAAGTGGGTGGCTGCAGCACTGGTTTGGAAAAATCAGTCTTGAATCTTCCTAAAGAGAGCCACTGGAAAGGAGAGCTGGGGGAGCAGCCTTAGCTGTGCTCATTCCAGCCTGGCTTTGCACCAGTGCTACTGTGGCCTTCCTGGGCAGGCTCAGAAAAAGAACCTGACATGTGACAATTTCCAGTCAAATAAGCAAGTGAACAAGGAGCTTAATTTCTTCCAGGAAAAGGTTGCAATTGAGTGAAGTTTTCTGACTTGTAACTTTCCAGGGAGATAACTACTATCCACAGAAAATCTTGCTTTAAGGAGCAAATCTAGCTTCAAGTCACTGTTCCAAGTTAAGGAATTTAGCTTTGATAGTAATGATGCAATCAAGTACTTCCATAAATTCAATTCATTTAAAAAAAATATTTGTGTTCTCAAAAGTACCAGATCTCATAGACTCATAAACATTTGAAATTTTTAGATAAATGAGTTTTTTATTGTTTTTCAATAGGAAAACATTGCCTCAAGACAAGGAACTCTTGGTGCAATTTAGTCAATTTTGGA